CAACCACCTCTCGACACAGGACTCCTCCTCCACCCCGCGCATCCTCATGGTCGATCCTTCGCTGGCCTTCCGACCCGAGGATGTCATCAAGGAGTCCGGGTGGCAGTTCAGGAACTACGTGGAGGATTCCGACGACCCTCAGCTGAAGCAGGTGAAGGAGACGTACCTCAAGATGCACACTTACCAGACGGTGGATTACGTCAAGAAGAAGGTGAGGAGATAAGGGAGGAGGAGGAGAAGGAGGTGAGGATGAGATGGGAGATGAAGGAGGAGGAGATGGGAGATGAGAAGGAGATGAGGAGATGAGAGGAGGAGGAGGTGAGAAGATAGGAGATAAGAGGAGGGGGTGAGAATATAGGAGATAAGAGGAGGAGGTGAGGAGATGGGAGGAAACGGTGAGTAAATCAGGTAAGAGAGAAGGTGAAATGATAAGAGATGAGAGAAGGTGAGGAGGTAAGAGATGAGAGAAGGTGAGAGGATATGGTGAGGAGATACGAGATAAGAGGGGGAGAGGAGTAGATAAGAGGTGAGAGAATTTGATTAGATGAGAGATGAGAGGAAGGGGTGAGTGAATCAGACAGTAGCATAATAGTTATTGTCCAGTAAGGCGAATTTACTACAAATGGTTGGTGTACACAATACGCATACGTGTTTTATGATACTGATCGACAGTCCATTCGTATCTATGACACCCTGTTCAATTCATCACCAGATGCCTTTGTGCTTTGTGTTAACCGGTAAGCTATTAATAACATTTTGCATTCATCATAGTCTGTTATGAACATTAGCATAAGGTTTGGTGTTTATATATTTCCATTGCTGCGAAATGTATATTTTCACTTATGTCATCCTGCACTACATGAAAAGATTAGAACACTATTCCCTTCAGTTGCATTTACCATTTACCACTATTTGAGAAACCCATCTGCCATGACACCCTCCACGCCCCGCAGCACGAGCACTGGCGGAAGTTCGACAAGTTCGAGGCGACCATCCTGGAGGCGCTGCAGAAGCTGAACGCGCTGGTGGACGAGAGCGACCCCGACGTCTCGGTGCCCAACATCGTGCACGCCTTCCAGACCGCCGAGCGCATCCGCGCCGCCCACCCCGACAAGGACTGGCTGCAGCTCACGGGGCTCATCCACGACCTGGGCAAGGTGGGCGGGGACACCCAGGGTGGAGTGGGCGGGGGAGGGAGGGCGAGGTGGGCGAAGGGGCGAAGGGAGGGCCAGAGCGATTTGGGCGAGGAAACAAGAGGTCGAGGAGGGCGAAGAAAGACCAGCAAAGGGTGGCCGAGGGAGCTTGGGACAGGGATAGCCAAGAGAAGGGCAACAGGGAGGGTCTGTCTGCTGGCAGAGTGAGGGACGGCCAGGGCAGGGAAGGGCAGGGGAAGGCAAAAGAAAGAGAGGAAAAGGGAGACAAAAAGCGTCGAGCCAAGGACACAGATCCAGAGAGGCGGATGAGCGACGCACATCAGTGTGGTTGCAGAAAAGGACGCGGGATTCGGGACGACAGGCAGCGCCACGTCGAGGAAGGGAGGAGAAAGATAGACAGATAAACAGACAGGCAGATGAATGAGTAGGCAGGAAAGAAGTAGACAAATGAATAAATAGAGATATAAAGGAGTAAAAAGGCACTATATAGACAAATGAGTAGAAAAGCAGAGAGATAAATAACCATGCAACAAACCGACATATTAATAGATAGACAAATTGACTCACAAACCTCTTGACTGTCCTGAACCCATGCATCCCCCCCCCGACCCATTCCCCCAGGTGATGGCCTTCTACGGGGAGCCTCAGTTCTCCACCGTCGGCGACACCTTCGTGGTCGGGTGCGAGGTCGGGAAGTCCGTCGTCTACAGGGACACGACCTTCCACGACAACCCCGATACCAAGAACCCCAAGTTTAAGTAAGGGTTTGGGAATTTTAAAGTGAATTATTGTTTCCCGACATTGTGTTCCATGTTATTTAGTTTTCAGATTCTTTTTTTTCTTTGTTTTTCTTTACTATAATGACTACACACATTGGGCAAGATGTTGTTTCCCCAAACTGTGTCCCGTGATAATTAGTTTTAAGAATGGCCGAGGTTATGCTTCTGGCAGCCGCTGGCATATAAACGTCATTTCTGTGTAATTACCTGAGATAAGCTAATCTGATCTATCCTAAGTTAAGCTAAGCTACCCTAACCTAACCTAATCTAACCCAATTTAACTTACTCTAACAAAATCTAATGTAACCTAACCTGCTCCAAACTAATCTAACCTGATCTAATTTAACCTAACCTTATCTACTCTAACCTGACCTAAGCTAACCTAACCTAACCTAAGGTTAGGTTAGGTTCGATCAGGTTAGCTTAGCTTAGCTTAGATTAGGTTAGGTTAATCTAATCTAACCTAACCTAACCTAACCTTCCTAACCTAACCTAACCTAACCTAACCTAACCTAACCTAACCTAAACCTAAACCTAACCTAACCTAACCTAACCTAACCTAACCTA